TTGGACCTTTTCTCAAACCCCTATCTTATATATCTTATCGTGTAGAATAATGGCAATTAACTCTAAAAAAATATATTTACTCTGTTAAAAAACTATTTTAAACTATTTTACTATTCAGCCCATCAAACCAATGACCCATCTCAAACCGGATGGCTTTTTTCTGGTATAAGGTATCCGATAGTAAATAAACACTCAGTTAATATATTAATATAAAACATAACTAACGTAAAATAAACATAATTTTATTAAGTCAAAGCTTTTACCACCTTCTGTGCACCATTTGTTACAAAAAGCGATACAAAACATTTAGAGGTCTTATCGTCATGAAAATTCAGCTCATGCATCTTCCTGCCAATATAATTTCTCTGCCTATGCAACATATTGAACAGTTTAAAAAATTAAATTAATTTTCACCAGTAAAACATACCTATCGATGTATTTTCAAAGGTTATGAGGCGGAAGCTACGTTAGGACAATTACTTGATGATCAAGAGTGGAAAACATGATATTATGAAGCAAATTAAAAAAAGTTTCGTCCAGCTATATCTGCTAGAAATGGCTGTAGAATGGTTTCAAGGAAATATTAAAGATGAAAAAGAGCATGATAAAAAGATAATGCTTTTATTTTCAATTTGCTGCAATAATTTAATATGATTTTTTAGTGAAGTGTTATTATCCTCCAGAATTTGTTTCATAATAGAGTCTTTTTGGCCAACATGATATTATGGTGATTTGTTTGATTGAGCTTGTTTTTTCTTGGTAAATATCTTGCTAGTAACGTATGTTGGTTGAGCCAATTGACTGACTAGAGCTCCGGATGATTATAATTGAGGTCATAGGTACTATATATGATGTAAAATTTTACACGATGTCCGCAATTCCAAGTAAATGTCTTCAAGCATCGTAATAAAAAAAATTTCTTTTAAAGGGATAAATCATTGACGTCAAAATTTCATAGCTTTGATGATTAGAACTTGAGATAAAGCCATGTTAGGTGTAAAAATGGTCCAAATCCAGAGCCATGAGATTCTGGTGTCAAAGATTCTTCTTCTCTTTAAAAGAACTATTTTTATTATGAGAT